AGCTTTTACTTGTTAAACAAATGTTTAAACTAAACAACTCTACTTATTCAGGCATATTATAGCTGCTATCACCTGAACATAAAGAAAGGTACTTTTCTTGACCATACCCACATCTGTGCCCTTTTGGTGTTCCAAGTGTTTCAATATTGTGACATAACAACATCAGTAATTAGCAGGTTGGTGAAAGAGAACATCTTTATATGAATACTTGGGCTACCTGCAGCAACTGTCAAGTTGGCTTTCTCCTTTTTTCCTGTGCCGAATCAGGCAGTGCTGTGTACATGCACCATAGGGCTGCTGTAAGCCACTCCTTTATCTTCTGTGACAAAAGCCTCATCTCTCCAAGAAAGAGCTGTGTTTGTACATTTCATATCTTGTGATATTTGGAGTCCTCCTGCTTGAGACCTTTCCCCATGGGACTACATGTATATGCTGGTTATTTAGTCTTTGGTAAAGAAAACTTTTAAACTTTATCCAGCTTATCTTTTGTTTTCTATAATTGAAGACATAGTTCATTGGAATAATAGCCTTTGCTTGTTGATAGTTTGACTAGCATAATTTACTTTTAGATGTCAGTTGACCTAAATTGTATGGAATGAGAAAGGCCTACAGGATTCTTTCTCACTCATTATCGTACCTAGGTTTTTGATAGGAATTAATAGATCTAATTCCATTTATTCTTTCTAAGCTGTATACTATTCACTGCTATATATCTTGATCAGAATCCTTGTTGTCAGAATACATTAATGATTCTTTACAAGTCTTTGTGCAGAAATGATTTTCTATGACCCTTAAAATTTGGCTTAAACACTTAAAAACAACCCATTACTTAAGTTTACTTTTACGTTTATCATGATCTCTTCCAATTCGTTAATCAGACATTAAGCAGTGTTTTCAGCATCATCAACTTGAGTACCTTTGGAAGATGTCCAGAGAGATGGAATGTGAAAACCTGCTTACATATGCACTTCCCATTACTAACAATATGTACTACTCACAGAGGCCTCACAGGGACATTTGAAAATTGTGTAAGGTCTTGAAACATGTATAAATTGTCAGTCATTATTATTATTACTTGAAAAATGAAATTTATACATCAGAGTTTTTAATTTCATTGAAAAATAAAAATCTGACCTATAAAAATTAGAGGTCGCCAGTTTTCATGACAGAGTGGCTAGTTTCACTGATCAGTTTTTTTTTTTCACTTGAATTTTTAGTATGTGGTGTGAAAACCAACCCTCTGATACTCAAGAGATACCAATGGTTTCATGTTTCAGTGTGTTAGCATTTTATCCTGTTGTTAGGCATCTCTTGATATTTGTTTCAACCTAGAAGTGTTTATTGTTGGAATAATGAGAAATGTGTTAGTTATCAGCTAATGGTTATGAAACAAACTGTTATTTATGCATGATCCTGATTCAGAATATAGGATTTAGTATTGTAATTGCTTGAAATTGTTTTATATATCAAGTATAGTGAGTTTTCTTTGAAAAGCAATAGTAAAGGTAAAAAAATATGAAGACAGAATGAAAATAGCTGAGAACAAATATTAAAACCTTTCAGTATGCTACTAAAAAATCTAGTAAGTAAACATATTAATCCAGTTGCTGAGGTATTGATTTTCTTAATAAGATTAGGTCAGACTTCATGGCTAGACACTTCTGAAAACCATTACATTTTTCGTACAAAGTCTATGAGATATTCTGGAATTATTCCAGCAAATATTTCTGAACTGTGCAACTGTAAAATTTTGCTTTTGGAGAGAAATGTGCTTTCCTTGTTTACTTTTGGTTAGAATTGTATTTCAAAAATGAACTAATCAACATAATCATTAGTTGGAAGAACTTTTTGTTCTGTTATGATAAAAATCTTAGTTTCTAAACTCAATAAAGTGTTTGAGTTCTTCTGAAATGTTTGGAAAAAAATGAAGTAATTATCATCAGGCAGTCAAAAATAAATGTGGACTTGTTAATAAGATAGAATTAGAGATCCAAAAATAGGTTAAAAATTGTATGTTCTAGAATGTTAATATGGAAGGGATTATTATTCATGTAAGAATTGATGGCTATGACTTTGCTCTGTGAAGCTTGTACTACTATGATGATTTTGTTTTGAAATAAAAATTTAAGAAATCTTTCAGTATCGTGAATCATGTCATTATTTTATTTTTCTGGACATTGTGTTTCTGTATAAGAATAAGTCTGGCTTTGTAGCATGTACTAACAGGTATTTTAAGTCTCATTTGCATCATATTTTGGTTGGAGAAGGTCCTAGAGATTTGGGTGAAATATTCTTGAAAAAATGTTTGGAAGTGATGAAAATTTTTCTTAAATGGGCATGAATTATTTTCACTACTCCTGGTGGATTATAGCTTCTTTGGTGGCAGTCCGGTGTTGACCTGAACAGGCTTGGCCACTTTCAGTAAACCTTTTTTTTAGCAGTTAGAATACTCTGCTTGTTGCAATAGTAGCCTACTAGGGAACTCCAGTGTCTTGTGTCCCATCACTGATATGTCTCTAGTATGCAACTAGCCACAAGGGTTGTCTATAAGTACCATTCAGTATATTGTATTTGTGTCTTATAGTGTGGAAACTCATTCTTCTACTTTTTGAAACAGTTCAGCTGGTACGCTCCTTCTGTAATTCTACTTTAGCATGTTCCTTGAGTGCTTTGCTGTGAAATACAAATTTATTATTTTCAGTTCTGAAGTATTTTGGACTGTTGAAGTTACTTCTAGTTGGTACTAGGTCTCCCAGTGTATTGTTTTAGGGCTAGCAATGAATTTGTTGCTTTACACTATACACTCTTAGAAGTTAATTAGTGCCTAGCTATTGACCATAAGCACTCTTTTGACCAGATCATCTTCAGTATAAGTTTCTTGTGAAAATTTTATTAATTCTTCTTCATGAGTGACAGCTACCTTTCTACTTCTTGTGGTCATGTTTCCACATGTTTATGGAGGTTTTAGCAAAAGTTATAGAAGAGAGAACATATTGTATTTGACATTGAAATTTTAATATTAAATTGTAATTAACTGATAAATACCCCTGCTATTACTTGCCTTCTCTCCTCTCCATATCAGTATTGTTATCAAGAAAATGTGACTGTAAATAATAACAATTAAGCCAGATTGAGGAATAATGTAGGGGGAGACTTGGGATTGGATGAGAGAAGTACTAACAGAAGATGTTAAATCACATGAAGTTTCACGAGATTAGAAATTGAAATGGATGGGAAATAGAGATAAAGGATCCATTCTAGATCTTGATCAAACCAAGATTGAATAATGGTTAAAGTATCTTTTAATTTGATTTTAATACTAAAGCTGTAATTGAAGTTTTGGAACAAACAATAGAAAAGAAAATATTAAATGTGACTAAGAGAAAAATTTTGGTTTTTGAAGATACAAGTTTTATGTAAATTTATCTATTTCAGGGTTGTTATATGTTTATCATTTTTATTGTACATTCCATTGTAAATTGTGGTTGGGCAATTCAAAAACTGTCATATCACTAGTGGTGTAGGTAGTGTATATAAAACAAAAAGGGTTCAAGGCTAAAGTACTTTTAATTACATTGCAGTTAACTAAGACAGATAAGTGTAAATACCTTATACTGTCTGTCATATGCTGATTTTTGTCATACATGCAGTATAATATAAATATGTACAGCAAGTATAAGGTAATATTATAATATGAAAAGAATTATGTTTAAAAATAATACAACTTGTTACCATCTTGTTTTTAGGTGGAGACTCTGGAAAAGCTGTACTTTATGGCAGAAATAAGCGTTCAACAGGTCAGATTCGTGAAATAACTTTTTCGAAGGAACAAGCATGTTGTATTGTAGGTATAGTACTGATGGTAATGCTTATGATTGCTCTAGTGGCAGCATTTGCAAGGCCAACTGTATTCTGTGAAGATGGATATGGAAATGTAACTGAAAAAATTTTGTTGAAGAACACAGCATCAAGTGGTTTATTTAAAGCTGGGAATAAAGATTTTCCTTGGCAGGAAATTTGTCTTCCACCATTTGTTAAGCCTCTACATTATTCCATTTTTATACATCCAAATCTGACCACATTCTGTAATGAGGGAACAGTGAACATAACATTAGAAGTTCTGCAGGCAACCAATTTTGTTGTTATTCACAAAAAAGATTTGAACATAACTGTTCAAGATCTATTCACCATTAGTGGGAAGCAAGTTAAGATTGTGCAGAGCTTGGAAAATGCTGAACATGAACAGTTATATTTAGAGTTTGAAACCACTATGAAACCCTCAGTGGAGTACATTCTCCATATCCAGTTTAAAAGGCTACTTCATGAAACTCTTGAAGGATTTTATGTAAGTTCCTATACACCATCTGGTGGGCAGAAAAGGTAGGATAGTAGATTCCTGTGAGATTTCTCTACCATATTGATAATATGTAATACATTTAAATGTAATATAACACTATAATACATGTACAAGTATGCTGAGCAATTCAGAAGTCCATTGATAGACAAATATTTCAGAGGTGGAAAGGTACAAGAAAATAACTGCTTGTGGTATGTTGTGGGTCTTTCCTGTAACTATACATTGAGGTCATTCAAGATCCACTTCTAGGTCTTATCTTTCAAAACCTTTTATTGATATCTATTGTGCATCAAAGATTCTAATTCCAGAGGTGTAGACAAGAAGAAACAAAACATTTTATACCAAAAGTTTAAAATCTCTTCACAACAACAATACAAATTTGTAGGTAGAAATGCAGATGAGGTAAACATCATAGTATTGCACAATGAGGGCAAATAACAACTCTCTTTAAAGTTCTGACCAAATGTGGCAAATGCCAATATGGTGGCTTAATTACCAGTAAATATTAATAGTGGTGGTTGTTCTTGATCTGGTTGCATAAGTGAGCCTATTACACAGTTGCTGACACATTTTCTCTCCTGTCATCTGTATACAATCTGGTAGCAGCTCTGGCATTCTGCATAAACTCTCCATATATTAAAGCTGGGTAATTAACTTGATTAATCAAGATAATTGATTATCTATGAGTATTGATTATATCAATTAGTATAATATAAAATAATGAATTAATTGAAATTATGTTTAAATCATTTCATGAAAATAAGAAACTAGTGTTTCCAGTTATTACTGTTTTTGAAATAACAGATCAGTTGATTAATGTTGGGAAAATAATTAATTAATCAAACTGGTGTTTCCAATTATTATTGTTTTTGATTATTTCAACTATCCAATATTTTAAATATTGCCGTTTTGACTTTTCAGTATTATTTTTGATTAAACCTAGTTTGTTCAGCTTAATTGAATAGTGTCACAACTGATGAAAATAATCATCTGATTGAAATTATGGTTTCCGATTATTCCATCTATCCAAGTAATTGAAATATTGTCATTATGTTGTAATGCACAAAGGTACATAAGAACTGTCTGTGCTCTGTTCACCACAGGTATCAAAACCTGAGTTATAGTGGTATAAGTATTTTAATCAATTTATGTGAAATTAATCTTTTTTTGTCATTTTGTGTGAATAATCAATTAGTTGAGTGTAATTGATTAATGAGTCTGATGATTAATCAATGAGCAAATTCCACTACTCTCCTATCTCTGCTTTTACAGTAGCAGTATGTTAAACTGATCTTCAATGAAATCTGTGCCATTAGTTAGATGATTTGTGAAGAGAAACAGTACAATACTTTATGTAGGGGACTTTTATTTTATTACTTTTTAATCTTTTAGTTCTATACATTAATCTGACTTTGCACATCAAACCTAGGTTTGTGTAGCAACCTTTCCAATGGTCGGATTTTAATCTTCTTTAGCATAATGTCATATGCATGGAAAGGGTGACTTATGCCTATAAATATTGTTCTGGAGGAACAGTTTTTGGTTTAAAACTTCCTATCTTATTGATATTCCTTTGTCATTGACATTTTGGGGTGTGCAATTCATATTAAAAAAATTCCCAAGATGACTTTGAAACTGACTTGAATATCTTGATATTGTCACAGGATAGTCCCACAACAACTCATTCTGTACCACTAATAATTATATTGTTACACATCTCTGTTTTTCAGTTATTTACCTGTAAATACACTTTTGAATTACACTGTGTATGTTTATATGTATAGTTAGGACTTATCATTTTTTTGTTGTTTCTTTGAAGACACGCGTATTTTATTAAAAAAAAGATATAAACAATATTTATGTAAATTCATGTTAGAACCTAATGTCACATCAAATAATTTTGTTATAATTATTATAAAATTTTCAATATTGCATACATGTAACATATCGCCTCACAGTTTTAAATTATTTTGTTTCAAGGGTATTTTACAAAGTCTTAATTGATGTTTTCATTAAAAATATTTTCATCACCAACAAACACTTGAATCACACATAAGAAAATTTGCAGAAGTCATTTCTACAAAATATGTCATCATTGCTAGTCAGAATGACATTGTCTGCTTACCTTAATTTTGAGGAATAGGAAATACATTTTGTTCATGTGTAGTGTTTAAATTGCATGTATACATCTGTAAGTTTGATTCAAAAAGGAATTCAAGTATACATGTAATATCTACTTATCTCTACCATGACCTATAGCTATTCCTCTTTTGTTGTGATTCTGAGTCATTGAATTTATTTCTTGCCTACAATTCTTAATCTATTTGCTAAATTGTGCTGATTTTTTTGGGCTATACATATACATTCAATTATAAATTCTATTTCTACTTCTTACTTGCTCAGGCAGACTTTCGGGAAGTTAGGGCTTTCTGTTCAGTAAAATTAGCATAATTGTGGTTTCCTTTTATATATATCAAGTAAGCATGAAAGAGTTTTTGTTAAGTTTCCATTGTCGTTCCTAGTTGTTACCTTAAAGTCATAGCAGATAATGCCTGTGGTAATAGCTCCCAAATGTGTTGGGGATATCTCATCTATTAGACAAAATCAAATGTTGATGTTAAACAAGCCAGCTAACATGGAAGATTAATTAATTATGGGTTTGGAGTTGAGTACTTGCACCCACAACATCTCAATTCTTACCGCCCTTCACTGTCTGCAGCCAGTTGTGGGAAGGCAGTTACCCTTGAAAGTTATTAAAGTTCCTAAAGTAGAAATAAAACCACCCTAAGATTTCTACTATATGAAACTCCCAATCTCCACCCTTACAAAAGAAAAGAAAATTAAAACTAAATGATCTTATAAAGAGCTACAAGTGCTGATTGATAAAGCAGGATGTAATTTTGGTTTTATATGTAAAAGATTATATGCACAAATTGTAATTGAAAAATTAATAATACAAGTACATTTACAAAAAGTACTTCAAAGAAAAATAATATTATTGCTAATGTAAAGTAAGCCATTAAAAAGTGGAATATACATACAGATTATTCTTGTTCTAAATTGCCATTTTTATATGCAATTTTTGAAATTGCATAAAAATCCCATTAAGTTCAGGTTTATAACTGATTCTTTAAATACAATTACTAAATCTGTCTTGATTGTTCTTAATTATATCCTGGATGTTATGTTTGAAATAATTAAAATGCCCTTTTTAAATGATCCAAACAATTATTTTTGGATTACTAAAAACAACATTCCAGTTTTGGAATGTTTAAATAATTTAAATGCTTCAGGAATAGCCAACACTCTGTGTCTATGTATGACTTTACTACACTGTATACTAAAATAGATTTGAAAGATTTAATCAGGGTATTCAATGACTTGTGCAATAATTTTGTAAATATATAAATAAACATTCCAAAATTTAAATTTACTGAAATTGAATGTAAAAATATACTTCATTTCTGTGTTTATAATAGTTATGCTACTTTAAACAAACAAGTTCCAATGGGGCAAATTTCTCTTCAAATATTGCTAATTTGTACTTATTATTGTATGAAAACTCGTTTCCGAAGCAGGTTTCAAATCCTAGCTTACATGTTACATAGATGACTTAATTTTCATAAATAACTTGTTTTTTACACCAAACATAATATATTTGAAAGAACTTGTAACAGAAAAAAGTATTTAGACTTGGACATTAATTTAGTAAAAAGCAAAGGTTTAATAAAGGTATCTTGTTTATGTCTGGTTCTTTGTTTATCATTATGATGTTTTTATTTGTCGATAAATATCCTATGGTTTTATTGAACTGTAATGGTTGTAAACATGAGAGTTTTGTATTATGTTTACCAAATTAGTTAAATTTACTGTTTGGTGACATGAGAGCATGGTAGGGAGGTGCAAAATATGCTGATGAGTGAAATCTGTATTGAGTAATTATTTTTTATGCTTATGTTATTCAAAAGATGTATGATCATGATTTAAAAAAATAAATACAGTATTAATCTTATTGGTTAATGGTGATAGTAAAAGTTAAATATATCTCCATTTTATTTACAGTAGATTAGTACAGGATTACCACATATTTTAAAAAGAAACATAATGGTGATTGCATAGTGGTGATGTTTAGCTGACATTAGTAATTCATTTGCCAAGTATTATGTTTGTGTGAAATAAAATTCTGCAGAAATAACATGCTATCTAAGTTGTGAAGATTAAAAACAATAACACAGGCACGTTTGTTTGGCAGATGTGCCAGTACGGGTGTATATGTACTAATCAATTAATGAGGCTGTCAAATAATCAGCTAAATGCCCAACTCTAGTTAGAATTCACTTTGCAAAACTAATGATTTTTCATGATTGTAGTTCAGTTTCAAGTAGCTTAAATAATTAACTTCCCACTTAGAACAGTGCTTTGAATTTGACTCTACATGAGACAACTTACAACAGAACAGACTGTAATGTTCAAAGGCTTAATTTTTTCAAGAAATTAACAGGAAAAAACGTAATATAAATATTTCAATTCTAAATTCTGTTTGTTATACCAAATTTGTTAAGAACAATGAGATTTAAGTTTTTAATTAAATTGGGATCACACAAGTGTAGTAACTCAATAATCCACATGTGTAACTCATATTTACACAAATTAGTTTGAATTTATAGTAGTTTTCAGCACTGGGCAAAGCACAGGCTTCCATTCCCCTATGTATGGAGTCCTGTCTGAGTGCAGTTGTTTGTGGTCAGTCTGTGTAACATGGCATCATTCATAATTTCCAACCAGTGACCACAGAGAGGCAACTGATTGACAACAACTTACAGCTATTTTTTATGTATATTATTTTGTTATAAATAAATTAATTTTTAATTAATTTAATTATTTGTGGTTGTTATGTATTAATTTTTAATATAAATAAGATACAAAGTAAGCATATTAATCCAAGTTAACTACTGTATTCTCAAAATAACTTGAAATTAATTAGAATATTTATGAGAAATTATGAATAATACTAATATAGTAGGTTTTTTGAATCTCATATAACTAATGAATTTACAGTAAAAATAGTTTTGAATTTTCCAAAGATATGTATCTAAACTGTTTTTTTGACAGACTTGTCTTTATTGCCAGTCTTTACATTGAGTCCTTATATATAAATTTACCATTAAATGAAGTAATTGAGTTAAGTAATAATTTAATTTTTCAAAATTCTGATCTTGTTGGGGGGGTATAACAAAACCTGTATTTATAAAACTATTATAATTTGTCACCAAAGAGTCAACTTTTGTTTTTAATGGTTGTCTTTATGAACAACTTGTGTCTATGGGTTCAAGTGTTGCACTGTGTTTGGCTAATTTGTTTTTAAGTTATTATGAAGAAATGTGGATAAAAAAAGTTGTCCAGAAAAGTTCAAACTATTATACTGTAGAAGATATGTTGATGATGATACTTTTGTAGTTTTTTCGAGAATTTAAAAATTATTTGAACAATCAACATAACAATATAAGTGCTGTTATAAGCCATCTTTTACAGGATGATATTTTCATTTTGATAGTTTTTTACCTTTTGAATTTAAAAAAACTTAATTCATAATATAATTCACTGAGCTTATAACCTAGTTAGTTCTTATTCCTCTTTCCGTGAAGAAATACACAACATAAAGGTTGTTTTACAGAAAAATAGTTTTCATATACAATTAATTGATAGTGTTATCAGGAATTATTTAAAAGCTTTGTACACTCCAAAAATTAGTAAACAGGTTGAAAACAAAGAAATAGTTTATTGCATTCTACCATTTACTGGTAATCACTATAGAATTAAGGAAGAAAATTAAATCTATTTTGAATAATATAACTTACCCACATATTAATTTTAGAATTGTCTTTAAACCAATGTTTCATTTAAGTAACTATTTTAAATATAAAAACAGGATTCGTATAATGCATCACTCTTACGTCATATATAAATTTGCATGTCCAAGGTTTAACCATGGATGTGTGGGCTCTACAATATGTTGTCTGAGCTCATGTATTAAAAAGCATACGCAGAACACAGCATATAATCAGTCATCCATCCTTCGCCACAGTTTACAGGACTTTGACACAAATGTCACTTGAAAATACTTTAACATCTTGGGGAGTGTGGATAGTAAAGAAATGCTACATGCTTAAGAAAATTTGTGGATACACAAGATGAGTGCTGAATTAAATGTTAATCAAACAGCATCATCTTTGCTCTTAAAACTATGGATGTACATTGTAAAGCTTTTGTTTATTTTTACAAACAATCCTTTCAAAATATAGTTCTTTTTAATATTTAATTTACTATCTGTTGTTGCATTGTGCTGTCTTCTCAGATGGCATTGTTGCTCTGCTCAAAACGAGCTTCCAAGGAGCTATACATAACAATGTTTGCTGTAATTTTGAATTTACTAATTGTATCTTACAAAATTCGGGAGGCTTTTAATAAACATTAAGAATAAAGATATTTTTTCATCTTGCACTATTCATATTTTTATTTGCATAACTTCCATAACCTAAATGAATTGAAATGTATTTTCTGGTAAATTTTATACTTTATTATTTTCTCTATCCCAACACTAACTGTAGTGAAATCAACAATGTAGGGTGAGATGAAAAGTTGAAAACTATGAAATAAATCTAAATTATCCTTTTTTTCCTTTGTAGAATGACTTCATATTGTAATGGACAATTACTCTTTATTTTTACAATTAAACATTAATAGACTTCAAATTTGGGCTCATTTAATTTTATTGGTTTACAGCTGCACTTAAGCCCACTCAGAGTATACCAAAAGTCATTTACTATAGTTGAACAACTTTGTGTAAATAAATGATAAAGTTACAAGCACTCCATGGTTGAATTACAATTGTACAACACTGTGTGTACGGTAGGAAATGGAGTATCAAAATAATTATTTTTATTTAAAAGCTATTTTACTTAAGTTTCAAATTTCTAATTTTAGTTACTTTAATAATGATGAAAAAATTTATGTAAAAAAAGAAGAAATTTAATACATATGGAGTACTTTTATTTCTATTATTCTATTTTTATGCCATATCTGTATCTTTCTGTACACTGAAAATAACTACCAAGCATGTGTCTGCAACATTCCTGTTTAAAGCCAACTTAAAAATTTTCATTTTGTTTGTGTGAGGTATCTAAGATACTCATGATATCAATAAGGATCACTAATTTTTCACAGTTACAATCCTGCTTATTTGCAGTTCGTCCTTGAAAGAGAAAGCTCTACATTTTGAAAGTGCTTTGGTTGTTGGGTTTCTTTTTTGTGAAGTACATGTAAATCTGTTATAAGATAAACATTGATATGTTTAATTGAAAAAGTAATTCTTATTTTTATGCATACAGAGGACTAATGCAGTGATATTTCCATGCAAGTGCAAGCCACAGCTCCATAGTCACCATATATATTTGGATCAAAGTAAATTCCCAATCATTATAAAGTCACTCTGCTAAACAGGAATTATAGATGGCAGGATATGTCGATCCCATTCTTGGGAAGAATGTTTATAGAGCATGATTGTTAAATTATGTATAGCCAAAATACACATCATTTTGAAGAAAGAAACATTCAGTGCTCTTCATGAAATAAAACTTGCAGTGCAGAGCATTTTGAACAAGAACAGAATATGAATCCACACCTAAAGCTATTGTAAATAAGAACAGTGCCCTCCCCTTTAATGTGATGAGTATGATCACTAAGAAAACCCCCTCCCCCAAAAAACAACAAAATTCATTACAATGAAACTAGGCATATCTCCTGGTACTTTTAACTGTGTAATAAACAAGATTTGATTATAAAAAAACGAAAATGAATGTTTACAAACTTTCAACTACACCTCACAAGCAGTGGCAGTTTTCATGAGAAAAAAATGACTAAAGAAATTGGAGTCAAAAGAATCTGTTTTGATCACACAATTCTTCATTTGCAACTCTAATATACTCTGTAATTTTCATCTACTTAAATGTAGTCTTAGAAGCTAATATATTTATACATACATACACACACATTTTGAAGTGTTTGTTGAATGTTTTTCAATATACATGGTCTAATATTTGTCTCCCCATTCTTTGAAGAAGTTTGTTATAGTGGAAATTGTAGTGTTAGGGACAAGCGGATAAACTTGGCCATAAGACTGAACATGACTGCAGATAGACAAAGTAATCCCAAAGGTGTTACAGGGCCTAAACTTTTTTTTTTAAAGGTGTAATTGGCACTTGATAAGATAATTGAATGTTTTGATGTGTCATGATCTTTTGGAAACATGTGGATTAAAATTGTTTTTGTATTAAGTTAATAATGTAAATATATCTTTTAGATATCTTGCAACAACCCAGTTTGAACCAACAGCAGCTCGCTCAGCATTCCCATGCTTTGATGAACCAGACATGAAAGCAACATTTTCTCTTCAAATTGTTCATGAACAAGATTATGATGTGTACTTCAATTCTGATCTAAATATTTCATTGCCATATGAGAATGGCTTAATCTTGTCTGTGTTTAACCCAACTGTTCGTATGAGCACATACCTTGTTGCCTTTCTCGTGTGTGATTTCAGTACTATTCAAGGGAAGACAAAAAGTGGAACTGATGTAAGTATAGAAGTGTAAATGTACATTGTACCACAGTTATTGTACTTAAGTGTATGCCCTGTAGATAATAAAGTGAAAAAATTGTATGATTTAGGTAACTATAAGTCACATCCATGTATTATTCACATTAGTAATGGCATCTGTAAGAATTGTTTTAGGTAATTGCAAGTCACATCCGTGTATTAGTCACATTAGTAATGGCATCTATAAGAATTGTTTTAGGTAACTATAAGTCACATCCATGTATTAGTCACATTAGTAATGGCATCTGTAAGAATTGTTTTAGGTAACTGTAAGTCACATCCATGTATTAGTCACATTAGTAATGGCATCTGTAAGAATTGTTTTAGGTAACTGTACGTCACATCCATGTATTAGTCACATTAGTAATGGCATCTGTAAGAATTGTTTTAGGTAACTGTACGTCACATCCATGTATTAGTCACATTAGTAATGGCATCTGTAAGAATTGTTTTCATATTGCTGTGTGAGTTTATTTATTGTACTTTTAATTTATTTTCAATTTTTATGTGTGAAACAAATGGTATTTATAAATAGATTATAGCCTAATTTATATTAACTCAGAATTCTTAAATAGAAATATCAGAACAATTTTAATGTTAGTTTGTTATTTTTGTGGCAATCTTGTATGAGCCACAATACTTAAATAGTGCATATGTGTTAATGGATGTGCTGTGTGGTGCTGTGGATGATTACTATTGAAAATGGATAGCCAGTTACATATTTGAGGGAGTAATTTCCATAGTCTGTTAATTTGCATTTGCAAAAAATATGTTGTCCAACAAAGAGGCACATCATGACTTTACTTGGAGGTTATAACTTTTAGCATGATTATATATTTATGCATAACTTGCATATTACTTGTGAGAGAACATTTGCTGTAAACAAATCCTTCAAGAAAAGATTTATAATGGGAGAGAACAACAAAGATGCAATAAAATTTGAAAACTTGCAAGCTTGAAAAATGCATCTATATGCAACTATGCATGCAGACAATGTATTTCTAAGGAATATTGTTATTCTTAGAAATGCTTTCTTGCTATGGGGTGGTAATGAGAATTTTTATCAAATTTTCTTTTTATTTACTAAGAACTTTCTCAAAACTGCCTAAATGTCAACATTTCTAGAAAATATTTCTACCAATATTCTTTTTGTCTAAGAAAATGTTCTTAAATATTTCTAGTTTTAAGAGAGAAGTGAGATTTTTTGTTCTAAGTGTGTGTGTGTGTGTTTGTGTAATTTTTTAAATGGGGTTTTTTCAATACTATTTTACTTCAAATATAGTACATCTTGTTTTAAGTGCTGAATATAGAAGCTGTTTGATAAAATTGCCTTGCTTATATTTCATTAATTTTTGAAGGATAATAATAATAATGGCAAATTTTGGAGTATTTCAGACAGTCACAAACTTAGAAACAAATAATAAAACTAACTTGTATGGCTTCTGTGAAACAACTTCTAAACTAAGGGTTTAGCTAAACTGTAGATTGTTTTTAATAATAGAATGTAAATACCTTTATATATTTTTATTATGATAGAAGAAGTAATACTCATTCAACTGTAGAAGTGTAATATTTGACCAGAAGTTAATTACAATTAATGAAGAAGTATTAGTGAATGACATGTTATATACTACTAGCCAAGTGACATTAAAGTTCGCTATCTATAGTGTTGTAAATTTTTGATGAAAACTACTTGTCCATGGGACAGAATGTTTGAAAAATCTACTTATCCCATCACTGCCCCATAAAATATATAAACAAATTTAAAATAACTATTATTTATAATATGCTCTTATTTAACATTGAACAATTGTTGAAATTACTGAACTCGCCTAATTTGAAAGCAAATAAAGAAATCATTACGCAGTCCAAATATTCTTGCCAAAACTGCCTCTAAAAATATTCAAACTACATCAGACTTTACCCATAATAAGAGTTACAAAGAATGGAGGGTCTTCTGTCTCTTCACATACTTGGTGCCTACAGACATAAACCAGTATTCGATAGCTCAGGCCCCTCAATTTTAAGAAGCATCAGACCTTGCAAGATGTCCTTATTAAGCAGGGAAGATTTTGTTGACAGCACAGTTGAGTACGCAGTCAGAACTGGTATAGTTTTGTGCTTGAAACTTTTCATGTGTTTTTAGTCCACTAAGCTCCTCCACAGTTCTTGCTTTCTTTTCCTCAGTGAAAAGTACATCAAAGTGTACTAGGATTTGTTTAGTTTCAGATATGCCATATGAACTGAGTTCTTCTCTACTTTCTGGCCAATAAGTGTTGTTAAAAACATTGAATGTCTGAGCTGGCATGCAGATGAAGTTGGAAAACCTTTCATCAGTGTGCTAGACCATTATTTCAATTAGTTTAATATTATTTGTTAAATTGACTGTTGAGGGGCAGTGACCAGACAACTCAATTTCAGTGAATCATTCCCAAACTTTCTTTCTCTTAAGAAAGTACTGCATGTGTACACCTGACTCATTCTTCAGTTCTACTAATCTTAAGACACACTGTTTCATTGCAGGCTGGACATGTATTGATAATAGTTCATTAGACTGAAATAATTCTGAAAGATGCAATACTGGCTTTAGGATATCTCTTGGGATGGAGAGTGTATTGATGAAATTGACACTAATGACTTCAGTGGGGACCTTCCTTGCCTTAGCTGCCAATTTGTTACTGCCATTGCTAACTTGACCTAAGTGCAAAACCGTAACCTGCAGGTTTTGCAGCATGGCATTTAAAGCTCTTGCTTTCCATGAGATTGGCTTAAAAGAGTCACATGCTGGAAAAAGAAACTTTGAATGAATGGGTGATCCTTTGTGCAAATTGGCTGGTGTCATTGAATGAGGCAATGGGATGTTAGAATCTGAATTGGTGGACTGAAGCTCCAGGTTGCTGCAGGTGCAGTACTCCTTGGCTATCCCAGGCATTGTTAGATGGGTTGGTGATGACAAGGCTGAACCTTGTGATTTTTGTTTCCATGGGTTCTGAGAAAAAAACTCCAAAAACAAACAAACATATAATAAAACATAGTCCTGAATAGGGATGTTTTGAAAATATAGAAGACTCTGTGGAAGATGGAGACTTCTTACATAGAGAAAAACTGGAGAAAATTGGAAATTTAACTGTTATTACTAATACAGAGACTACTTACCGTAGGAGCTTCAAAAACTTAGGTTTAGATAGCCATGACTCTTTCATTTAAATTTAATACAAGAGTTATGATCTAGGTAGTTATAAAGCATGAGTGTTAAATTTGGTATTTTTAGAAGTGATAATTTATTGTAGTTTCCTTACGTAACTGTTTACGAATCATTTGTTGTGTAGTTCAATTGTTTTGAATTGACATCATGTTACTCGAACCTCCTGAATTTTTCTCATTGCTTTAAGTGAGTATTGTCACATCATAATGTCTGATAGTTTGTAGAAAGTTCTAGGCCTCAGTACAAGTTAAGTTAGTGAAAGTAAAAAAAAAGAAAGTAGACTGTGTGATTGTAAGTTTAGCTATAAAGAGCGTATAGTGGTGATTTCTGAAATGAATTATACAGCTTGTATTGTAATAACAGAGATAGAGGGGAATAAATTGGCTTGTCAAAGGGTGTTCTAAAAGTAATTGAACCTGCTTGTGTAGACTTTTACAAAGAAAAGTAACAATTATTTAAAGCTCTGGATACAACTGTGATTATCATTAGTGTAATGAATTTTTGTACATACTTTTGTCTTGTTTTGAATAAATTATTTTAAAACAAGTGGGTTGTGTGATGTCCATTTACTGTTGAAATTTATTGCCAACAAGTCACAGACACCTACTATAAAGAATCTGGTCCATACATACATACATACATAAAAAAAAATCTGACACTTACCCTACTGGAACAGATGGAAAAGACATCTTCACTCTTCAACAATTGTGTTTAAAAATGTATAACCACCTAATATGTAACTCCCTCATCTTGTAAAAATTATATGCACTATCGTAGGCTTTTCCTCGAACATTGTTAAGGGGTAAGTTCATTTTTATTAATGTGTCTTTAAGTGCTGACAAAATGGTATCAGCTGATGTGTCCCGAAGTTTTATCAACCCAAGAGGCTCTTTAAAAATCTCAGAATTTTCAACTACCCAAAGAACACAAAATACCAATTTCTTAGTTCATTAGCAGAAATGTTGACCAAGCTGATGGGACAATATTAGCAAGAAGTTTTTGGAGAATCGTATGAGCCATTAACTCAATTTGTTCGTTAATAATGACTGGGGTCACATATTGGCCATCTTTCAACCTCTGCTCATGGTCCATGCACTACTTCAAACACTGATATAAGTTGCCTTCAGTATCGTTATCACCACAAATAGTAATTCTGATATGATATTTTACCTCCTCTTATAAAATAGCCTTTCTCAACTAGCATTGCCCTCTATTGGTGCACATTTTTAACTCGGGCCACTAGCCTTCCACCTCTTGTTTCTACATATCCATACACAAATTATCATGCAACAGCTTTCCACCAGCAGAAGGCCAACACAACACCTATTGTAACCAGCTCCTTCTCCACACTAGCACTCGTTAATCACTTTTCAGTTGGCAGTAGTACTGTACAGACATGCTTGTTTTTGGTCTCAAACTTGTCGATGTTTTCCTTTCTACTACAGACTTTGTTTTCTTTTAATATATCATTGGTTTTTCATGTTTTTATATTGCACAAGGTTGTTTATTCCAATTTTTCCTTCTTTTTAATTTTCTTTTTTGCTTCACGATTGGAATTGTCAGTATACACTCGCAGTTTCAGGTAGTTACAATTTCTACAGCTGTTACTACTGCTGCAGGTTTGCCAACCACTGCTACCAAGTCAAGTACTCAATTATCATCTGATGATGTGATGACAATTGTTCGATGAGAAATGTCCATATTCATGTAACCTTCACCACTACATGAGGAATGCCTGCTCCTGGGGTGTCTGACAGGGAGGATGAGAATTT